CGTTCAATTACAGAGGCAAAAGCAGCAAAACCCAAACTTAGGCACTCTGAGCTTTCCTGTCTGGAAAGCATTATGACACGCTAACTTTAAAGTTAATATTCTAGTCCACAGAAGGGAAGGAACACTGTCACCCAGTCATTTAGGGAATGTTTCTGATGACACTGTATTTTAACCGGATGACGTGCTTTAACCTTTTAACCAGTCTGTTAAGCATTAATGGACAGGCAGACCGTCTCCTCAGAACCCTCTTCTCGTTCCTAAAATGCCACTGCTTGAGATGCTGACCTTGCCCCTGCTTTGCAGGGGATTATTCAGACTGACTTTAAGCCCTCTTATATACAGATCAGAATATAGTATAATACCTTCAGCTTATATCACAAGGAAAAGCGTTACAAAACCACAACATTATCACCATGTATTCACCAATGCAACCAAATGAAAAGAAATACGGCAGTGAGAAGGAAAAGCTTGACCACACAGCCAGCAATGGGAAACCAGAGCAGCAGCGAGGCTGAGGCTCGGGCCATTCCTGCAGGCAGCCAGCTGTGTGCCCAGGCAGGACATTGGGAGCAGCCCTGGGGCTGTGCCAGGAGCCGGGGCCCATAAATAGCTGGGCTGAGTTCTGCCAGTCTGCCCCGTCACTGCGCTTTATTTTTCCTTAGGGGAAAAATAGCAACTGCTGCGAACTGGCAGAAAGCCACCCAGCGTTTGATAGTAGACCAATTTTAAAATACAAAGTCAGCTGTCATCCAAAAGGCAGACTTCAAATTCACTAGGGACTGATACATCCAAGTAAAACAGTAAAACATTTATCAGCTCTATCAACAGTGCTCAGAAAGGTAATAAAGTAGTGAGCTCTGAGGGCTGCTATGTTGTAAGATGAAATTACACGCTAAAATTCAATTATTTTTTTTTTAATCTGCATTTCTTGGTTAAATTGTGTAATTTAACATAAAAATATGCAAAAATTAATGTAGGGCAAGGGAAAATGGTTTCAAACTAAAAGATGAAAGGTTTAGGCTGGGCATAAGGAAGAAGCGTGTTACAGCAAGGCACTGCATGGGCTGCCCAGAGAGGTGGGGGCGGTCACTGCAGACAGCCTAGAGCAGGGGACGGGCTTTGAGCACTGGTGGAGCTGTGGGTGTCCCTGCTCACTGCAGGGGCGGCACTGGGCGGCCTTCCGAGGCCCCTTCCAACATGGAAGACTGTGATTATACAGTATTCATAGAATCACACCACAGAATCACAGAATGGCTTGGGTTGGAAAGGACATCAGGGATCACCATGTTCCAACAGCCCCCTGCCGCAGGCACGTGCTAGATCAAGTGCTACATCAGACTGCCCATGGAATGGGGCACAAACTTAAAAATTTTAGCGTGGGCTACTTTAACGTTTAAGTCTTTCACACGCTATGTTCTGGGAAACGCATATAGCAGTAACCTATGATAAAACATGAAGTAAGTGACCTGTGCTGATGTAAAATCACTAGCTTATAGTTGTTGGAACTTAAACAAAAAGCCATAGAAATGCTCCTTAATGTGTTATTTGACATTCATAGAATCAAAGTTGGAAAAGACCTACAAGATCACCCAGCCCAGCCATCCACTCATTACCAATAGCTCTCACTAAACCACGTCCCTCAACACAAAATCCAAACGTTCCTTGAACACCCCCAGGGTCGGTGACTCCCCACCTCCCTGTGCAGCCCATTCCAGCGCCTGGCCACTCTTTCAGAGAAGTGGTATTTCCTAACGTCCAGCCTGAACCTCCCCAGTGCATTTGGAGGCCATTCCCTCTAGTTCTATCACCGTTACATGAGAGAAGAGGCCGACCCCCAGCTCACCACAACCTCCCTTCAGGTAGTTATAGAGAGCAATGAGGTCTCCCCTGAGCCTCCTCTTCTCCACACTGAACAATCCCAGCTTCCTTCAGCCGCCCCTCATAAGGCCTGTGCTCCTGACCCTTCACATCTCCATTGCCCTTCCCTGGACGTGCTCCAGAGCCTCAATGTGATCCTCCCCCTCTGCTCTGCCCTGATAAGACCTCATCTGGAGTACTGCGTCCAGTTCTGGGCTCCCCAGTACAAAAAAGACAGGGATCTCTTGGAAAGAGTCCAGTGGAGGGCCACGAAGATGGTGAAGGGCCTGGAGCATCTCTGCTATGAGGAAAGGCTGAGTGAACTGGGTCTGTTCAGCCTTGAGAAAAGAGGACTGAGAGGGGACCTGATCCAGGTCTGTAAATATCTGAGGTGTGGGGGGCAGTGGCAAGGCAGGACTCTTTTCAGCAGTGTGTGGAGACAGGACAAGGGGAAACGGCTGGAAACTGCAGCATAGGAAGTTCCGCACAAATGTGCACAAGAACTTCTTCACAGTGAGGTGACGGAGCACTGGAACAGGCTGCCTGGGGAGACTATGAAGTCTCCTTCTCTGGAGATGTTCAAGACCCACCTGGACACCTACTTGTGCAAACTGGTGTACGCAACTGCTTTGGCAGGTGCTTGGACTCGATCTCTGGAGCTCCCTTCCATCCCTGACGATTCCGTGATGTCTTTCTTGCAGTGAGGAACCCAAACTGGAACACAGTTCCAGTGCAGCCTCACCAGAGCTGAGTACAGGGGGACAATCACTTCCCCGGTCCTGCTAGGAAACTACTTCTGATAGAAGCCAGGATGCCATTGGCCTTCTTGGCCACCTGGGCACACTGTTGGTTCGCGTTCAGCTGAGCATCAATCAATACCCCCAGGTCCATTTCCTCTCCACAGTCTTCCAGGCACTCTGCCCCAGGCCTGTAGCATTGCCCAGGGTTGCGGTGGCCGAAGCAGGACCCGACATTTGTTGATCATCATCCCGCTGGCCTCAGCCCAGATCTCTCACAGGGCTTTGCTACACCCAGGCAGACTGACACTTCCAGCCAACCTGGTGCCATCTGCAATCTTACCAAGAGTGTACTCAGTGCCCTCGTTCAGGTCATCAACAAAGACATTGAAGAGGACAGGCCCAATTCCGATCCCTGCAGAACACCACTCATAACCAATCACCAGCTGGATTTAACTCCATTACTCAAACATGAAGACATCTTTTCATTATGGGCTTAATTTCTAAAAACATTTTAAACAGAGTACTTTTATTTTTGCAGTGGTTATTCTGACAGCTTGCACAAGGACTTCACTCTCAGAAGTTATGCAAACTGTAGTGACACAACCACATATGCAAATTGAATTCCTCAGAAGAATGGAAAAAAGTTGTGGTCTGTGGTTTACCTGGGTTTTGAGTTTATGAAGAAGCATTACCAGCCTTTTTAAAAGCCAGTTTTCAGCACTTCCGATGAATTTCAATTTGCAGAGGACTTCGAGCATGCAGAACTTGAATAAAAATATATTTGAAGTTCTACATGTACTGGGTTGCTACGCAGCCTAACATCAGGACTGTGCAGCGCTACTTTTAGCACAGCATGTTAGTCTCTTCCTTAAAGTTTTACTCCACTTCCTACCACATCAGCAGCAAACAGAGCAAGCAGCAATCCTACCCAAGGCACTGACGTGAGGAGGAAGGATTCAAGGCTCCTGCTTTCTTCCTGAGGACTGTTTGCATCATTCCCTACTGGTGATGAGTAGAACTGGCAACATTTTTGTTTTAAACACAGCTTCCTTGGACTGCAGATAAGGAAGGCAGAAGGAGAGGAAAGGAAGGAGGCAGCAGAACTGCTGTATCCGAGGGATGGGCTCAGGGCTGCTGCAGTTGCACTTCAGCTGGTCGCACCCAGACTTGACCTGCCACGCGCACTAAGGAACCATTTCTCCCTGCTTTGAGCCTGGTGTGCTCCACATTCAGTGGGACAAAGACAGACCTACTTCAGTTCCACACCAGTGGTCTCTGCTCCAGAATACTAGCAGCTCATTTCTCCCCTCCTTTTCCTGTTTTCCACCAAGTATTTGGAGACACTTCAGTAGCGCACACCTCACTTCACTAACAACTGAACATACAGTCTTGTCAATAAACATGCAGAAGTAACACAATGTTATAAAATATTCAGTGATCTAAATGCGAAAAAAAGGCTTCCATCTATTTAAATATATATTCCCTTCATAGGAGTTGTTTTTGTGGTTTGTTTTTTTTTCTTTTTTAGTGTCAAAAGGTTTTTAAAATCAGAACTAGCCAAGGAAACCCATACAAATTAAACCCCACTAATCAATCAAGACTGAAGAAAAATAAGCTCATCTTTCGTGGAGCTGATAGACAATATGAATCTCAAACTGGTCATTTCATTACAAATTGCATTCAACTTGCTAGAAACTGCAGTGTTGTATGGTATTGCAGTGGTGGACATAAATAGCATTGGAACCTTGACCTTCCAAGATTATAATTCCAGTCACAAAAAAGTAACAAAACACTGAAAATCCAGTTTGCTGCAGTTTCACTTTAAAACTTGAACTGCAGAATGTTGTGTTAACCATTTTTCCATAAGGGATTTAATAACAAATAAAGGAACTTCAGAACCTATTGATTCTGGAAGCTGTGATACAAACTATCGAAGTAAAACAGCACTAATGCTACACAGAAAGGATGGAAGGTTTCTAAACCTCTAACGCAAAACCAGAACATGTTAGAGTGGCTTTCACACTTAAAAAATACGCAGTTAAGCTTATAACATGTTCAAGATACAGTTCCAGTACTTGTTATATTGCTCTAAATATAACATATTTATAAACGGGAAAATTCCAAGCGAATTCAAATAAGAGGGCTGATCTACTGCAAACCACCATCAGAAATGGCTAAGATTTTAATTAAAATGTGAACATATATATTACTTATTTTTACAAAGCACCCAAACTGTTTTAAACCAGAAGACTGTCAATGAGAACAAACGATGCCTACACACTAATCATTACAAATCCAAGGGCACTTTTTTTTAAGACTGGTTTTGAACATGATATAGGAACTTCAACTTCACAAAAGCAAAAGATCTTTATTTTATTAATAAGGAAGGAAGTTTCACCTTACCTGATAAAATTCCTGAAGCCAATTCTTCTGCAAGTTTTCTGGCTGAAAAGCAAAACATAAAAAAGTTAGGAACAAGAGTAATACATTTTCACAACAATATCACAGCCCTTGTCCTTCTCTTGGTGCCTTCCATTTTTCGCCAATTAAGGGAGACGCATTTCATCTACGACTTCACTACATCCCTGCTCTTACAAGATGACCCAGTGATTAGATCCACAGACCTGACGCTTATCAAAATACCTGCTTCTGAAGTACGCCAGGATTTCAAAACCTTTGCGTGAACTGCTGACACCCAGTTTTTGCAATTTGAGAACACAGTTTCAAATTACACAGAGTTAATTCTAACAAACGGCCTCACAGACAGCTGTGCTTTTGCAGGACACTGGGGCTCCTGTCAGCAGCAAACAGAGAGAAGTGTGCAAAGTCGTTACAGAAGTTATGAAAACTGAAGAGCAAAAACATACTGCATTGTGCCTTCTATGAAGCACACAGCACACCAGATACGGTTATAGAGGTGGACGGATGGTTTCTACACATCTAGTGTGGACATTTACTGACTTATCAGCAAGATTTGCTAATTCCTGGATTGTAGGCAGAAAACACAGACCCAAATCACTCTTCTACAGAAACAGTAGGAACGCACAGTGCCTGTGGGGCACAGCAGAACACATGGAACTGGAAATCAGAGGTCCCCCATCCTTCCCCAGCAACCGTTCAGGCACTGTTTGGTCAGAGGCCAACACCAGCACCACAGTCCTGTTCTGCTGCATTTTCCTATCAAAGTGTGTTATTTTCAATTATTTGAACACAACTCTACACTTACAGATTTATTCCATAAAGAACTGAGTAACCTCCACCCACATTCCTTCAAAAAAAAAAAAAAAAAAAGACTTTTTTGGAAAGCCAAGAGGAAAAAAGTGTCACTTCTGTCCCCTGCTCTCCCCTTCCTTTTGTTGATCGCACATTCTTAATGGTCTCAAATTCAGATATAACTGGGCAAGGAGGTGAAGCTCCCACTCCCCAGGTGCTCTCATTTTCTCACAACCAGCTTCCTCAGCATTGCCTGTGGCAACTTGCTGCTGGGCTCAGAGCAGGCAAGCGCAGGGACCAGCAGCCCCTCCTCACATCCTGGCCCTGTGCACCCACCCCACACCTGGCCCAGCTCCACCTCTCAGCCAGAGGGACAGGGCTCAGCCCAACTTCGGGGTCGTCTTTAATAAACACAGGGCAAAACATTCATGTCTCCCATTCACGCCCTTCCGCTCAGCCAAATAATATTACAGAGCCACAGCAAGGAAGCTGCAGACACAAAAAACTGCCGGCAATGAAGCAAGGGATAAAATATTCTCTCCAAAAGAATACTGTCTCTGTAAGCACTTGTTCTTGCAAGCTTAACCCTTTTTCCACTCATTTTGAACTTCATGAGACAACTCCATGAATAATGATGAGAACCGACTTTCATGAAACAACGAGAAAACAAACCAACCAGGAGCTGTGTTTTCAAGCCAGTTCTTAACTGTAAGTTTTGACAGTGGCACAGGACGTACTGGTTGTAACCAGAACAGATGTGGATTAAGATGAAACCTGCTTACACGTATTGCCTGCAATTTCTGCAGGATTTCAACCAGAAGGCCAAATTTAATCCAACAAGAAGGCAAGATCTTGGGATCTGCAAAGCTTCCAATTAATCATTTCTGGCTGTTATGAAGACTAGATGAGCAAGCCCTGCACTAGACTGCAGGCAGACCAACTGCTGTGCTTGTTCTCAAAACTGAAAGCAGTGCTATTTAGTGGGTGACAGACAGCTTTCACTTAAAATCAAAAAGCCTCAGAGTCCTAACTCTCCTTTACCTTATTTACACCAGCCACTAGATGCCCCGAAGGCCTATTAATTGTGAAAAATAATCCAAAGTGGACAGAGACCAGCCATTTGTAAAAATACATATATATGAAAGAGCACTATTTTTACCTACAGCCTGTACTTACAGCAAGCAGCTGCCTATGGGGGCACAGCAAACCCAAAACCCCACACCTGAACTCAAGGCAGTGCACTAGAGTGTGATGGTCCCCACTGACAGCCTCCCCAAGTTTCAGACACAGACCTTCTATGTCAGAATAAAGCTAAGATTTTATTTAGCACATCTGGAAATTTTCAGTTGAATCAGCATACACATCTGTAAATTCTGACACATGCCCTATATGTTAAATTAGAGTAACTAAGCTTGTTCTTGCTTGAGAAAAAATTGCTACCAATCAGGAGTATTTAAAGCATTTATCCTACAAGAATCCCAAAGGAGAAAACAAAGCACAACATTACTTTGCTGTTAAACATAGCTGGAAGTGGTATCGGTTCACCCACTTGCCTCACAGCTAAATGGCAACAAACGTGGCAAACTAGGTCCCAGGCAGTCAGAGCAATCTCTGCAAACAACCTGCAGAGCCTCATCACAGCACAAGGCAATGCAAAGCTTGCCCTGCTCCTGTATTTCACAGGGGAGAGAAGTAGGTGATGCACAGTGCCCTGAAACAGCCCCCGAAAGACAGCATAGAGCACAACAGAATGACGTATGTCCATGCTGCTCTTGAATCTCCTCCAGTAAGTGGAAACACCAAGCTGCCCCTGAGAACAGATGGGTTCCTGGCTTCTTCCCAGGCTTCAGCCCTCCAGCGTTTTGGGACATTGCTGCAGCAGGTGCCACAGAGGCACAGCGAACACCTGCAGCTATCAGATATCACCAGACACCATTCAATATGAAGGACAGGTGTTACAGATGAAGAGCATCACCATCTCAGACCACAACTCTGACTAGACATGATGCCCACAGATACAGAAAAATCAGTTTCCAAACAAATTCAAGACCTCAAACCAGTGTGAAACAAATGCACAGTGGCTACACGTGCTGCAGATGGCTGCAGCAGAAGCTGCAAGTGAAGAAGCGGGAGCAGCCCGCAGACAGACTCACATGGAGGAATATCACAGGCATTATCGGCAGCTTTTAACAGGTTCTCTTTCCCTCTTATTTTCGGCTACAGCAGACACTACTTATAAGCCTTGTAAGCCACAGCAGGAATGCTCTGTGCACCCACCACTGCCTTTCACCATGCGTCTCCAGGACTTCAGCTCAGGAATAAGAACAGTTTAAGGCCAGAAGGGACCTTTAAGGCCCCGTCCTTCCAACTCCCTGCTGCGGGCAGGGCTACACGGGATCAGGCTGCCCAATGAAGAAAAGCCCCACCCCACCATATCCACCCAACCACATCCAACCCCTCATTAACAGAACCCAACACATTTGCATATCCTGCTGGCCCAATCTCTACTCTGTATTTTAAGTTTACTTTTGATTTGTGCTTCCCCATTTGAAGCCAGTTTTCTCTCTTCAGTTCTGTGGCTTAACTCCAAGGCTTTTTGGGAACAGATAACAACGGGTGACAAAAACTCAATGTGAAAAATACTAACAGGTGCAGAACAAAGGTTGCAGACTTCCCAAATAACATCTTTTGAAGAAGCAGTAGCAAAAATGCATGCATCAGGAAAAGGAGCAGCAGCACTGGAACATGACAGTGAAGTCTGCTAGCCTCACATCCTGCAGTTACATTTAATTAGACTACCAGGTTGCTAACGAGGACTCCTTCACAGAAAGCTGGGCTTAGGACTCCTGCTCCAGCCGCCCGCAGTGCACGAGGCCCAGCCTTCCGCTGGGTCAGCCTCCACCACCACACTTCTCCTGCAGCCTCGGGCACAGCAACATCCTCGCTTTGCTTTCAGCGCTCTTGGACGAGATTCTGTAAGCCAGCTCTCTGCTCCCAGCTTCTCCCCAGTCACCTCTGTGTAAATTACTTTAAGTTCTCAAAGACTAGAGATAACAGTCAAGTAGAAAGACCATTTATCTTCCTTTTATTTCTCTGTTTAAAACTAGATACAGCACATTTTGTGTCTTCCAGACTCTTTGGCCTTCTTCCCATCCACACAGTTTTTGCCCTTCATTAAATTATCTCGTTCTTTCTGTAATGTAAATGAAGGTAATCTTTTCCTTGTCCTCCCTTGCGCTGAATCCTTTCATCCACGCACTTGAGCTGATCTCCCAGCACGCAGGATCCCAAACTCAGCCTTATCAGCCTGCTTCTTTCTGGCTTCTGCAGCTCCAGTTCTCCGCAGCCCGCCATCTGCTCTGGGCATTCTCTGATAGGCAGCCGAAGAGCGCTGAGCTCAAGCAGCAGTGGAGAGAATAGAAGAAAGGAGGCAAGCACTCTCAGAAGCGTCACTTTCCTGAGCACAAAGCGACTTTCCACCACGCCTGCCCTCACGGCCCCTCGCAGCCCAAAAGCCGCCCAGGTGCCAGGCAGCCTCGCACACAGCATGCAGGCACTGTGCCCATGAGGCGCCGTTCCCAGCGCACTGCCATGCGAGGCACAGAGCAGCTTGGGCAGCCTGCCTTCACTGTGCGCTTCAGCCCCACAAACAGCCCGAGGTCTTGGAGAGCACAAGCCTTCATCCTAACCTTTCATTTAACCACGTGCAGTAAGTGGAGCCACAAATACAAAGCCCGTCCCTAAAACCTAGCTTGACCTACTCTAGCCTGTAGAACCACGTGGATCCATGTCAGAACAACAGGATGCTCATACCACGCACCGCCGCTCCCTTCAGTTCAAAGAGATTTTGACCTTTTCCTGGAATTTCAAATCCCACTACAGCCTCTTTTCATGCTGACTTCGTATTTGAAGTCTATTAGTTTCACACTGGTTACTGCATTGGTCAGGCTATAAGGAAAAGGCGCAAGCTTTCAAACAAATGGATACCGTGTGAGCTGCCAATATCCTGCAAACAAGCAGCTTTTCAAAACAAACATACAACTAGGCTATCTTTTGCCCAGTATTTCCATTTCCTACAAAGTTGTACTAGATTTACTCAATGGAAAATGGAAAAAAAGTACATGAATTATAGAAAGCATGTTCTTTTTTTCAAAGTTTATTTTTAGTCAATAATAATCTCATTTTTTTCACTTTGTGAAAACTCACTGAGCTTCACCATGAACACACAGAGA